TCCCCTGTGCAAAAATCCGTATTTCTCGCTGTTGGTTAAGTCTTGCCACCTCAAGTGCACATCTCATTCTGGCAATCACAATTTAGTGTTTTGTAGTCAAATCTTCCCATCTAACTCATTGGCAAAGTTGTTGATTGATTGATTTCTAAACTAAACATCTGTTTGATATATGTCATGGGCAGACACTGTGGACTGTGCTGGGCATAGGAAGATGAGAGAGACACTATCTCTCTACTGACACACAACTTTCTTTTCAGCCCAGATAGCTGTCTCATTTTGTTTCATAAAGTAAGCTTTTGCAACATCTAATTTTATTTCTCATCTTCTCTGCTTATCCAAATCCTTGAACTCAAGAACCACTTGAATTAATAACATCATCCTTGAAAATTCAAGCTTGCTCTGATTCATCTCTGCTTCTGATGCTCCTTTGATTCTGTCTTGGTTTACCCTCAGTTTCTTGCATCTCATAACCTAGGGCTCACATTCCTTGTATTTCCCTGAAGTACCTAGAGTGATCCCAGGGTGGTGCAAATGGCTACTAACCAAAAGATTGGAGGTTTGAATCTATCCAGTGGCGCTGTGGAGGAAAGAAATCTACTTCTGTAAGATTACAACCATTAAAAATCGTATAGAATGCAGTCCTACTCTGACACACATGATGTCACCATGAGTCAGAATTGACTTGATGGCAATGGGTCGGGGCAGTGCTTACAAAGGGCTAAATTTAGCCTCCAATGACATGGTACTGACTTTCACTAATTAGGGATTCAATCAGTATGGAAAGGAGATGGGACAGATTTTTGCTTTCCTCTAAGCTTCAGAGGCTGATTCAATGATTATATTTTATATGCTTAGGTTTGCAAAGATACATTATAAGACTATTTTTTCTCCTCTCATATAAACTCAGGTATAGACCATTCTGTGACCAGGTAACTGGCAGCAAGCAGAAGAGAGAAGATAACTAACCTAGTTCTTCATTTCCAGTGTGACTTCCCAGTGACTGTCTTCTTCTCAGCAAGAAGGAAATGTGTCAGATGAAATCTCGGGCTAATTTCTTTCTTTTTCTTGATCAGTGTCTTGCATCAACATTCAATTGACTTCTTTATAACTGTCATTTCCCTCACAGAGAAAAATAAAACCCACATCAAGTAGCTTCTAGCAGTCTTCTTTAGTATAATTAAAATGAGGGTAAGGGCCATGCCTGCATTTGTTACTACTGTATTCCCAGAATCTATCACAGAGCTAGACACACCAAACATACTTAATAAAAACTTGGAGGATGGCTAATCGATTTCCCCTCTTTGATTATAAATTGAATCTCCTCCAAACATCCATTTGAAAAGCACATCCGATTGACTTAGAAACATGAATATTCCTTAACAAATGCTTCCTGGAAATTCATATTAATTAAATGTATAAAAGTAAAGAAATATAAATCACTAAAGAAAGGACTCAAAATTCTCACCTTGTTATTTATTATCTACGTGACCTTGGCAATTAATTCCTTGCTTCTGGCTTCAGGCTTCTCATTTATAAAGCAGGATAAAAGCTCTTATCATCAAGGGTTTTGTGAGAATGAAGTGGCTACCATATGCAGAGAGTAGTGTCTGGCACTGATTAGTGGCTCCTAAAATTATTATCAACTGTGTTGGGCTCGAGGAACCCTGATGGTGCAGTGGTTAAGCTCTTGGCTGCTAACCAAAAGGTTGGTGGCAGAAAGATGTGCCAGTCTGCTTCTGTAAAGATTACAACCTTGGAAACCCTATGGGGCAATTCTACTCTGTCCTATACGGTCACTATGAGTCAGAATAGACTGGATGGCAATAGGTTTTAATGGTGTTGGTCTCTGTGTTGGAATCTAAAGGTGAACAAGATAAACCCCATTATGAGGTTTACAGTTTAGTCCTGGGAGAGAACACATTAACACAGATAATTATAATGAAGAGCAGGGCAGAATCAGTACCACATCAAAGGCACGAGGGAAAATTTGATAGCTCCGAACATAGAAAGCATGGAAGTAGCCAAGTCAGAGTCTCTTTTCAAGTCCGACTGTACCCCATTGCACTGGTTCTCTATCATAGCACCCTATTTGTTTCTTCATAGTACTTACCACTAGTTCTTTTCTTTGCTTGTTGGTTTGTTTAGCTGTTTCCTGCCTGTTCATTCCCTTACACGGACAGCTCTATGAAGGCAAGAAATTTGCTTGTCTGGTTTACTATCCTCGTTCTAGATCTTGACACAATGCCTGGCATGCAGCAGATGCTCAATAAACATTCATTGAACAAATGAGAGAAAACAGTAGTGTTTGTTGATTATGTGTGTATGTGTGCTTGTGTATGTGCACATGCACAGGTTACTATACATGCACGTGTAGGTACGTGGATATTTGAGGGTGTTTGTGTGTGTATTTTGTGTGAAGCAGGTTCTAGCCTTTAGTCTAAGCAGTCCATGTCTACTGCTAGGTTTCAGCTATGACTGTGTGTCTGGTGGACTACTCTACAGGCCTATCAGAAATCTGTTTGCAGAGGAGTCTAAGCAGTCTCCTGGGAAAAAAATTTATCCCTCAGTACAAAGAAGACACGCAGACAAGTGCAAGACAGTATCAAACACTTCAAGGGTTAGAAGAGAGAAGCATGTCTGTATGTGTAATGCTGTATTTCTCTTGGGTGGCTTTAATGGACTTGCCGCTCATGGACTCATGCGTTGGCACTTGTGAGAGGGAGGCCTGTGTTTGAAAACAGAAAGAACTGTTTTTACTAAAAGTTCTACAGCTCTGCAGTATTTTAGGATGCCTTATTAATCAGAGTCCAGCTAGAAAATCAAAACCACACTAGATGATCACATAGGAAGAATTTAACATGGGGATAATTTACAATGTGCTAGAATTGCATTATAAACAACCAGGGGAAGGTGAGTCAACCCTGAGATTAGCAAATGCAGGAAGGATAGAGTGAGTAGATGAGGACCTGGAGCTGAGACCACTCAGTAGAAGCTGGAAAAACAATACATCTGCCCAGCATGAGGTGGGACCATAGAGGGAGGAGCTTTCTGGACGCAAAGAAATGCAGCCATTGCCCAAAATGTCTCCTGAGGTAGACAGAGGATAGAATGCCCTGGAATCTGTCTTTTTCTCTCTCTCTAATCTTCTACCAGTGCCTTCCTTTGGCTAAAACTAACCAGAAGCAATTGGCAAAAGAGCTTGGGAACTATAGTTTGGAAAACTCAACTTCCTATAATACAGAGCACAGGAGGGGAAATGCAAGAAATAGGTATGAAAGCAAACAGACACATGATAGGCACAGATGCAGGGTGGTGCCAGCTTGGTATCCCCAAAGAGATCATGACATAAAAATAAAGGATGACATCACCCACTACCACTTTGCCATTCAACCTTGGCACTTTAAAGGTTTTGACACATCACCATCACTGGCGTAGGTGGTGATACTCATGAAAAACAAAAGCAGTATCTGGCAGAGAAAGCAATGGAAGTGGAGGACTGAGTATACGTGGCAAATAGACATGATCTCCTTTATGCTGTTTATGAAGTTGCAGCAAGATAAAGAAATGGCAGTTACAACTTGGTAGCTTACTAAGCATTAATCTTGGTTTGGCACAGTTATATGCTTTATCTGCATAATTTTATTAAATCCTAATAGCAATACCATGAATTAAGTACTATTAATCAGTGTCACCCTCAGATGGGAGCAAGTGGGGCCCCTAACCCTGGCCCTGTACCTTACACCATCCAGTGCTTTGGCACATCATCCTAAAAATTTTCTGAGTCCCTCTCTGGTGGTAGGCATGGCTGGGGCCAGCAATACCATTTGGCCAGGGATCCCTGAGCTGGGACTTTGACCCACATGGGCCCTGGTCCCTATTTCTCCCCTTCAAGGTACTCTCTTACTCTCTACCTTGAATATGGGGTTGATCAGGTAACTCAAGGAACTCTAGGCCTCATGCCTATGGAGTCATACTGAGGTCAGTGGCTGGGACCTCATTTCAGGAGGGCCACCTGGCAAGTAGATTCCTTTCACGGGTCAGCACAGGATTTCATTCACGTGGTTGCATGAGATTGGACTGCCAGAGTGATTTTAAACTCACTATTTTGGGTGACTCTTTTTTTTAAATGTAGACAGGTCCTTGAAAAAAAAATTTTCTCAGGGTTGCACTTGTCAGGGGTACTCTTGCTATTATACCAATTTTAGATGAGTAAATAGACCAATAATATTGATAATACATGTCTAACCCAAGACTGCACAAATAGGAAGCATTGAAGTCCAACTTTGTAAAAAGAACATTTTAATTCTAGATCCTGAACCTATTATTTTGTATGAGACTACAGAGAAGATACACTCGGTACTCTCAAAATAACTTGGAGATGCTAGAAAAGGTAACCGAGATGTGGTCATAGTAGGGATGTGTGGGGTAGGGAGCAGGCAAAATCCAAAAAAATTTGGCACTAAATGCCATTAAGCAGACTCTGTGTTATACCAGGGCTGATTTCACCTTTATATTACTTCTACAACTGGATAGTTCATCAGGTAATGTGAGTCTCCAAACTTTAAAGGAATAGAAAACCTGGAGGAAAACATCAAAACTTTCACTCCTTTTGGTCCCAATATAAAACCTTCACTTATTTTCAGTGTTTTTCCAGGAGAAGGGCTCTTAAGGCTCTTAGTGCTCTTTGCCTTCCATCTTTGTCTCTGTGCTGGAGCTTGTCCAAGATGTACTTGAAAATGCTTCATTTAGTGCTTTGTTTCTTGTGGGAACATGAGGGAAAGTGGAAAAACCTCCAATTTGTTTAGTGACCTGCATGTTCTTCTCAGGTGGGGCAAGTCAAGGGTGGTGATTGAAATTCACGTCCTTGCTGGGTGTATAAATATGCATATGTGCACGAGCAGCTGTCACACTTTGTGGGCTAAGTGTAACCACTGGTTCAGGAATTTGCTGGGTTTTCCAGTTCAATTGTAAACTCCAGGTAAATATCACAGATACCTGTCATGAAGCTGGTTACTGTCTTCCTGCTGACGACCATTGGCATTTGTAGTTACTCTGGTAAGTAACCTGGAATATGTAGTATTTCTCTACTTCTCTGTTAATACAAATATAACTAGTAAGCCTAAGTTCGCCAACAGTGGAATATGGTGGAAGGGGTTTTAGAACCACAGAATGGCAAAGTTGGAAAGGATTTCAGAAGCCTCCTAGTTCTAAGCTCTAACCCAATTCAGGTTCCTCCCCTAATGCATCCTACATAGGAAGTTAGCCAACTCACACTGAGGGTCAAGAAAGCATATTTCATTTTGGACATTGGTCACCATCGGTTTTCCTTAATCTTAAATCAAAATTTGACTTTCTAGCTTGTAACTTATTTCTTTTGTGCTTTTGAAACTATGTGGAATCATTTGCTATCATCTCCAACCAGCCATGCTGCCAGGTTGGTTCTCCTGTGTCACAGCTACATTTATCTGTTCCCCAATTCAATGGATATTTCTTGAGTGACTACAACCTACTGGACACTGGATAAGCATTGAAAGATTCAGACATGAATCTGACATAAATATTGTCTTCAAGTCTGGTAGGGAAGATAAAACTTCTACAGAAGTTACTACAGTACCAGACTACTGTAAATTCAAATGAAATACACATATAAGTTTCTGTGAGCGTATTGAGAGAGGTGAGGCTCAATTTCCAGGTAGGGGTGTAGAGGCTGGCTTCATTCTCTGTGAAAGGAGTCATTGTAATTGTGAGGAAGCTATATTTGGGTGTGTCTGAAAAATGCTTCATGATGACCACTACTCACTCAGATAAACACTCACCAAAGTTTCTAAAATATGAAGTAGGCAGAATAATCATAGGAAAATGGGTTCTACCCACACGGATAATGGCAACTTTGGCCTGTGATTTTTACTGAATTTGGGGAGGAAATTATAAAGTCACCAGCTTTGGTTATTTTGTCACTCTTTAGAATTCAGGGATCTATGGGCAGTGGTGGCAACGGAAAGAAAGGGAGAGGGGAATAAATGTCCCCACTCCAGGAAAAAAGTTTGGAAGGGAAATAAGTGGTAGAAGATGAAAGAAAGATATGTGCACAGGCTCATTTTTAGGATTTGAATGGGGAAATAGAAAAGATTCTAAAGGAAATGACCCATGGCAGGACCTCCGCCAGTAGGAGGATATTTGTTCCTGTGTGCGTGCTCACACATGCCTGTGTGTTTATACATCTGCACATATGTTTTTGTAAAAATATATGTCATACATATTTTTCCCAAACTCTACTCTCTGATTCACCTTTTATGGTGGAAGTTATCTTTCTAAAACCAAAGATAGAAAATGTAGTTGTTGCGTTTAAAAGTATTGATAGTTTCCTACTGCACCCAGGGAAAAGATCCAAACCACTTGGTATGGCATTCAAGGCTTTCGAAAATCTGAACTCATTGATTTTTACAAACTTATTTCTTTCATCCTCTCCTCCCTGCGATACCTCACTGGACTTCTGTGCCCCTACTACTCTGGTGAGAAGGCCCACCATTCTGTGTATACACTTTCATCTTAACATCTCAGTGTCTTTGTTAATCTCATTCTTAAAAGGCTGTCCCATTTTATACCTTGTAATCCTGACGTTTGTCTCAAGACACAGTTCCAGCATCACCTCTTCTGGGAAAACTTCTACAATACAGTTCCATGTTAGAATTAGTCATCCCTTCCTTTGTGTATCCAGAGAGCATTGTCCATAATGTTTGCAAAGCCCATGTCACACTATAGACAACACCGATCTTTATTGTCCACTAGACTGTGCGAGTTCTCTGAAGGGAGCATCCTGGTCTTATTCATCTATGTATCTGTATCAATTAGCATAGAGTTAGTGTCTATGTATGTGGCATTGTATTGAATTGGTTGGGGGCAATTGAGTTCCCTGGGCTGTGACTGGGTCTGTTCTTGTCCCTGAGTGGAGAGCATTATGGCATCTCTCACTTGGTGTCAAAGCTGTGGGCTGTGGAGATAGCAGGTAAATACCCTTGTCTGAAACTAACCAAATGCAAAGCATATACGAATGTCTTAGTTATCTAGTACTGCTATAACAGAAACGCCACAAGTGGACAGCTTCAAAAAGCAGAAGTTTATTCACCCTCAGTAGGCTAGAAGTCCAAATTCAGGGCAACAGCTCCAGGGAAAGTCTTTCTCTCTCCGTCAGCTCTGGAGGAAGGTCCTTGTCATCAATCTTTCCCTGGACTAGGAGCTTCTCCGTGCAGGAACCCACATCCAAAGCACATGCTCTGCTCCCAGCACTGCTTTCTTGGTGATATGAGGTCCCCTACTCTCTACTTCCCTTTCCTTTTATCTCTTGTAAGATAAAAGGTGGTGCAGGCCATACCCCAGGGAAACTCCCTTTATGTTGGATCAGGGATGTGACCTGAGCAAGAGTGTTACATCCCACCCTAATCCTCTTTAACCACAGGCAGAGATTATGATTTATAACACATAGAAAAATCACAAAATGTAGAACAGCCACACAATACTGGGAATCATGGCCTAACCAGGTTGACACATATTTTTGGAGGATACAATTCAATCCATGACAACCAATTCAGTCAACCATCAGTATTTATTGAGTCCTTACTACATGCCAGGTTCTATTTTAGGCATGGGGTACAGTAGTCAGCAAAACACAGTTTTTCTTCTCATGGAGTCTACCTTCTAATGAGAGAATAAAGGCAATAAAGAATGATAAACAAAGATTTAATATTCTAGGTATAGTCAAGACCAGGATGAAAAATAAAGAAATATAGAAGGTGACAGGCAGCGCTATTTTAGATGCAGTGGCCGTTATAGGCCTCTCTGAGGAGGCAACATTTGAGGAAAAGCCAAATAATGTGAGGAAAAAAGACATGTAGCTATCTGGGAAAAGAACATTCTAGGGAGTTAGAACAGAAGGTACAAAGGCCCTGAGGCAGATGGTTTCATGGGAAATGAAGATCAGAGGGGCTGGAATGGAGCTCTCCATGGACAGAGTAGAAAGTGATGAGAGGAGTCAGATGTATCTGCTTCACTTGTCTTCTTTTTTGTTCTGCAGCTAGTGCCTTCCTCATCAACAGTTTGCCCCTCCCTGTCAACAATGCCAAATTCTCTTTACCTCTGGACAACATTCTTCTCTCCATGGATCCCTTAAAGCTTCTTTTGAAAACTCTGGGCATTTCGGTTGAGCACCTTGTGGAAGGACTAAGGAAGTATGTAGACGAACTGGGACCAGAGGCCTCTGAAGCCATGAAGAAATTGCTGATAACTACAGGTTTGGGGAGTTAATTTGTCATGGGAGAGAGATTAGTCACCATGAAGTCCCACTTCCCCACCCAACTACCACCTCACCCTATTCTCAACTTGTAACCATAAATTTCCCCTTAACTGACTGTAGTCACAGAAAGTTTGCACGTCCTGGAATCTCAAGAAAAGTGCAAATTCCACATTTCCAGAAGGATTTTTCTACGATAGAAGACTTTTGTTCTAGTTGTGGCTGTACCATTTACTAGCTCTATAATTCTGGGTGGGACTTCACCACTCTGAGACTTTGTTTCCCTGTCAGTCAAATGATGGCTAAATATGACAGTGAGAGTGAACATTGTTCGTAAAGCATCAAGTACGTGTAAAGCTGCTCTTATTTTTACTGTTGTCCTTCTGCCTTTCAGGAGGCCCTGTCACACTTGGTATGACGGCAGGATAAAGCAAGAGCAGAGGTAGAGGTGGAAGGAAGATGATGCTTTCATCCCCTGGCTGAAACTCATTTCTATCCAAATAGAGACTAAATATAGTGACCTCTGGAAAGAATGAATAAAGCAATTAAATAGTTTTTCGGTTTGTCCTAATTTTATTTCTGGGGGAATTTATTCAGAAGGGCCTAACTAGATAATTTTTCCCTTGGATCGTAAACTCTAGAGAACCTATTGTTATAAAGATAACCGGGCATTTTAAGTAAGACTTATAGTCATTCCTTCCCCTCTCCTTAGGAGTCCCCAGGTGATGCAGTTAAGTACTTGGCTATTAGCCCAAAGGTTGGTGGTTTGAACCTACCCAGAGGCACCTGGTGAGAAAGGCCGGGTGAGCTTCTTCTGAAAGCTCACATCCATGAAATTCCTATGGAGTACAGTTCTACTCTGCAACACATGGGACCACCACGAGTTGAACAGAATTGACGAAAATTGTTTTTAGCATGGCATACAAGGCCCTTCACTACCTGACCTTTCCTTACATGTCTAGTGTTATCAATATTCCTTTCTTCATGTGTGCTCTAAGTTCCAGTCACACCGAAAAGATAATTAAATCCCATTCCTGCCAACATCTTACACATTGATGAAAAATCAAGTTTCTTCCCATTTAGAATACCTGTCATGGTCTACCTTTAGATCCAGGATTGTGCTAGCCTTGCTACTGTTTACCGTAAGATCTGTTTTCTACCTTTCCCCTGCTTTGCTCTGTATTGGGGGTGAGAGGGGAACAATGCTGACTGACCCTGCAGGTTGCATTTCTTTCTCAGGTCCCCATGTCAGCTGACTTTATGGCTGGGTTGAGGCTCAGGCAGGAGATAAGAGATGGGAAAAAGAAAAAACCATAGTATATTTCCTGCTACCTCTCTGTCTTGGGTAGAAGTCATTATTCACTGGACTTTTGTGTTAATTACCCAAATGGTCTCTGTATCTCCAAGCTTGATCTTCTCCAGTTCATCAGCCATATGAAACAAAAGGTGGTTTCCTAAAATGCAAGAATCATTCCCTAGCTTCAAATTCTTCAATAGTTTTTAAATACTGATTGGAAAAAAAAAGGTCAGGCACTATTTTGAACCAAGAGACATATCATAACAAATTTAAACCTATTTATTTTAATACTTAATTCATAGTCTTCTTACTAATCTGTGAAGTCCAAAAGAATAGAGACCTGATCTTTTTTATGTCTGTATCCCCAGTGCATAACTCAGAGCCATTATTGAATGAATGGATTTGTTTCTATTAAATTTTATCTTGTTGGGTTGTACCCTTTGTTTTCTCCTATCAGTCATACTATTAAGTCATTCATTGCTATCTCTCTCAGCTTGGTGTGTTTTGCATGTCTGAGAAGGATGACTATCTCTGCTTTTATCAAGGTTATAACTAGAGAAGACTGGGACAGAGTTTTGTGTCACCAAGCTCTGAGATGTGGTCATAGATGTGATATGACAATTTATTAGGGCTGGAGGATTTTCTGAGGGTGTGCCAAAGAGAGTGATTGAGTCAAGAGGAAATATTAGGACAGATAATGTTTGAGAGACTGGGTAGAAACTGATGATAAGCGCTATTATGTAAGTGACAACACAAAATGCTGACAAGGAGGTGGAGAAACTGGATCATTCATATTTTGTTGATAGGAGTGTAAAATGATAGTCACTCTGAAAAACACTTTGGCAGTTTCTTGTAAAAACTAAACTTGCTACAACCATGCACTCAGCCATTGCACTCCTGGGCAATTATTCCAGAGAAATAAACACTTCTGTTCACAAAAAACCTGTACACACATGTCCATAGCAGTTTTACTGTAGTAGCCAAAAACTGGAAACAACCCAGATATGTCAGCGAGCGAACGGCTCCACGAACTGTGGTACATCCATGCCGTGGAATACTACTCAGCAATAAAAAGGAATGAACAATTGATACACACAGCAACTTAAATGCATCTTCAGAGAATTATGCTGAGTGAAAAAGAGCCAATCTCAAAAGGTTAAATACTGTGTAATTACATTTATATGACATTCTCAAAATGACAAAATTATAAACTGGGGAATAGACTCATGGCTGCCAGAGGTTAAGGAGGAGGTAGGGGCAAAGGGGAAGTGGATGTGGCTATAAAAGGGATATGAGATCCTTGTGGCGATGGGATGTTCTGTATCTTCTCTGTATCAATGTCAATACACTGGCTTTAATATGGCAAGATGTTTCTATTGGGAGAAAGTAGATAAAGAATATGCTGGATCTCTCTGTATTATTAGGTACAGCAATATATGAATCTACAATTATCTCAAAGCAAGAAAGTTTAATTAAAAAGTTGTGAAGATAATCAGAACATAGAAATACATATTATATGCATGTAATTATAATAATATAATTAATATAAGTTATCTGTAACTATGGAAACCCTGGTGGCTTGGTGGTTAAGTGCTATGGCTGCTAACCAAAAGGTCGGCAGTTCAGTTCGAATCCACCAGGTACTTCTTGGAAACTGTCCAGTAGGGTCTGTATGAATCAGAATGGACTCGATGGCAATGGGTTTGATTTTTTGGTTTTATATATAACTAGAATGATATATGTGACTATATATGCATGTATGTGTCTTTATATTTTTATAGATTTCTTCATAGAAAGGTAACTTTAATTTCCTTCCTCCATACATCCCATAAAGTATAGGAAACAAAACTTAACAGTATGATGTGTATTTTCCAAGACATTTTCTCAACATTTACAAGCACGCATAAATAAAATATGAGCCATACTTTAAACTATCATCTACAAAAATATTTTGCTTCTGGTAATATCTTTATTACAAAGAGTGCTACAGTGGATGTCCATGTATTTGCATACTCTTTTGTGTTTATCTCTTCAGAAAAATCTTGGAAGTGGAACTGCAAGGCCAAGAATTATGTGAGGTTTAAAATTTTCATAGCCACTCCAAAATTTCCACTGGAAAGAGAAGTTAGTTTCTGAGGGGATGAGGTCAGAGAAGTTCCATTCCTGAAGATGGGGTTAGGAACCCAGGACCATGCCTAAAATATGATTGTTCTGCCTGAGCTATCAATCCCTTCTTATTATGTGCTGGAGGGTCAGGAAATGCAATGTGTGAATCATTTTGTTTCTGGTCCTCATGGTTAAAGTAGGCAATGCAAACAAACAGATAAGTAAATAAAACTTACATGCTTCGTTGTTTTGTATTTTAGAAAGGAATCAGATGAACAGCTGTCAGCCTGTTGAGTCTGATTAAAGACAGCAGGTGGCGCTCACAGGCTGTTAGTGACATAACAGAGGCAGGTTTTTATTTATGCATATATTCAAGATATACAATAAGACATATCAGCACCCTCTATTGTATTGAATATTTCGCTGGGGACTCACAACTAAATGAAAATTATCTGATACTATGACTTTCTAGTAACTACCCTGGCTTCATTTTGAGCATTTTTCTTTTTTTAAAAAGTATTCTTTTCTGTGTTCTGCCACTAGCAAGCTGTGTATCTTTAACAAACAATAACTGTATTTCCTGACTAGATAATAGCAATGACAATAATAATAACAATTTCTTATTTATTGTTTACTAGGAACCCTGCCGGTACAGTGGTTAAGTGCTACAGCTGCTAACCAAAACGTCAGCAGTTCGAATCCACCAGCCACCCCTTGGAAATCCTATGGGTCAGTTCTACTCTGTCCTATATAGCCTCTATGAGTCGGAATCAACTTGATAGCAATTTTTTTTTAAATAAATGTGTCTTTTAAGGAGTCCTCATGGTGCAGTGGTTAAGGTGCTTGGTTGCTAACTGAAAGGTCAGCAGTTCAAATCCATCAGGCACTCTGCAGGAGAAAGATGTGGCAGTCTGCTTCTGTAAAGATCACACACAGCCTTGGAAACTCTATGAGGCAGTTCTATCCTGTCCTATACGTTTGCTATGAGCTGGAATCGACTCGAAGGCAATGGGTTATATATATTTTTAATTAAAAATATATGGATTGAACAGTATTTCTTTGCTTGGCATTGAGCATGCAGTGATAAACAAAGTAGACCTGGCCCAACCCCATGGATTTTACAGTCTAAATTAAGATACAAACACTATTCAAGTGAACATGGATAAATAGATATTTAGAAATTATGATAAGAGAGAGAAAGAAAAAGAGCAGGGCTCTGAGAATGGTAGTAGTGACAAGAGGCTCCCTATTTTATTTTGGGTGGTCATCAAGAGAGGCCTCTCTATGACAGTGTCATTTAATCTGGGATGTAAGATTGTAAAGAACCTAACTTGGCCAAAGAATGCTCTAGATGGAAGACACTGAATGTGTGAATATCCAGAAGACAAGGAGAACTAGACTTCTTCAGAGAACTGAAAGAACACCGGTCTGGCTGAAGCCCTGGGAGTAGGAGCAGAGAAGTATGGATGAGGCTGGACAGGTAGACAGAGGTAAAATTGTGCACTGGGTGCCATGGTAATGGGCACTGTTTTTATCCTAAGAGCCCAGGAGAGCCACTAGGAAGTTTTGTGTACCACGTTCTCCGTCTCCGTGAATGGCACCCCACACATC